TTGGCATTAATGCTGGTAACATTACCAGCATTAATGTCCCTGCTCACAGCAGGGGGGTTGGAACTGGATGATCTTTAAGGTTCCTTCCAACCCAAACCATTCTATGATTCTATGAACATCAACAGTATCTCTGAACCATCCGATTACGCAGGAGCAACTGTGCGGCTGGCACCCTGGCTCCAACCTCCTCTCCCTCCCCGCTCAGAGGCTGGGGAGCTGCCAGGAGCATGGGCTGCCCAGGTACACATCCCCGGAGAGCAGGGGCTGCCCAGGTACGTGACCCCAGAGAGCAGGGCCAGCGCTGCCTGAGGGCACAGGGGACAGCAGGAGACCACCAGTGCAAGCACAGCTGAGTAATCAGTCACCAGTTTCCATGAACATCCACAGACAAAAGATTATGATTTTAGCAGAAATAAGATCAGGTTCAACTCTGAAGACAACGAATTCACTGACTACCCTTATTACACAGTTGTGGTCAAAATCTGAAGGACAGTACATTCGTTTCTATCTGGACTGATTCTTTAATATGGTTCATATGAAAGAGAGGAATGTATGCACCATTTCTCATTTCTGATTGAGGTAAAAGATTATAAAATTATTTTTAATGATTAAATCATTCCTCTGCAGTCATTAAGAGTTTTTGCATTCTTACTGTATATTTATTTAAATGACGACTGAATAAACAGCATTTAGCTTGTGGTTCTTTTGTTCAAATCAATCACAGAATCGTAGGGGTTGGAAGGGACCTCAGGAGATAACACAATTATAATTTTTTCATTAAATAATTATCCTTGGCTTGCTCTTCTTTTGATTGTTTCAAAATTAACAAGGAACTCTCAAACACAAGATATTTTGAAAAAACACTTATAGCCTGATTTACCACAAATGATTAAGGAATTTGAAAAAAAAAAAAAGGTCAAAGTGTAGATTTATTCAAGAACTGAATAAATCAGCACATTGCCATTGTCCTGAAAGCACTGGCCTGCCGATTTATATCACTTGAGAGCTGCCAGATCCAAAAATACAACCTGGTTTTGTGTGAGTAGTGCACTAGTGAGTTAGCATGAGGTGAGGAAGAGTGGACAGCACTGCAGACCCACCCGGGAAGCCTACACAGGAGGCCTGGGCATTCCCCGAGGCCTGGCTTGCGTGGGGACTCCTCATGCTCTTTGGGTGGGTGAAGAGCAGGAGCACAAAAGAGGGGTGGCTGGATATGATCGCAGTTCCCAGCTTCTGCTGCCTCTTGAAGGACACAAGCAACCAGCTCAGATTAGAGAAGCCTCATTTGGTCTTTGCCCACCTTTCATGGGCAAGTCTCTGGAGCAGGAGGATACAAGGGCACTGTACAGCACAGCATGGCTCTATCCCACTGTCAAGGTCAGAGGTGTTGAGCTTTTGCTAATTCAAAATGATAGAATGATCTATCTCATTGATAGAACGAGAGGAAATGGCCTCAAGTTGCGCCAGGGGAGGTTTAGATTGGATCTGAGGAAAAACTTCTTCACCCAAAGGGCAGTCAAGCATTGGAACAGGCTGCCCAGGGAGGTGGTGGAGTCACCTTCCCTGGTGGGATTTAACAGATGGGCAGATGAGGTGCTCAGGGACGTGGGTTAGAGGTGGGATTGGCAGTGTTTGGTTTATGGTTGGACTCGATGATCTTAAAGGTCTTTTCCAACCACCATGATTCTGTGATAAGCAACAACTTAAAATGGCATCTGTCTGACACTAAGGTGTTAGCTCCGCATGTTCTACATCCTCTGGTGCCACCTTTCTCATTGCCTCCCTGTAATGTCCTTCCTCGTAGCCCCTAGACAGGGCAGTTCTGTTGGAGTTACAGCAGTTAGACCCTGGTCCATCTGAGGTACTATAACTCTCATGTACGATTCAGAACGTATCAATTAAATATTCAGACAGTTTTGCATTATTGCTACAGCTATTTTCAATTAGGTTTTCTCTTTTTTCTGTCGCTACACAGCTGGATAAATCTGGGTGTTTCTTTCTGAAATAAAATGATACAGAATAATCATTGTACTTCAAGGTAATAAATACAGGTAACTGTTAAGCTGACTTCGGAATAAGCTACAGATAAGTCTGGGTAAGCTACAGATTAATTTGGAAAAATTATACCTGACAGATTACTCTATGCATTTCAAACTGAATTTCTGTTGAACAGATAATTTGTATTTGTATCCAATTTTTCATAAAAAATACTCATTTTTAGAAATATATCTTAAGATTCTTTTTGTTGATTGCAATGTAGAAAAGAAGGAACAACTGTGTACGGACAATGATAAAGTAGCCTGTGGATAATAAATATTTGTCAGGTCTTGTCACATCTGTACACATTCCAATGTTACTGAAGAGCACCACACTGATAAAAAAAAAATACCCTCAGAAAAATCAATGGATTTTGAGCTGAAGCAGTTGCTAAACACACAGAAAACATCTTTATCCAACAGCCATAGTGCTGTGAAAATTCCCAAGCCTTGCATTGGTACAGCTAAGGAAAATTTAATCTTCCCAAATACTCATCAGGGCACTCCATCCTGCAGACCTGACAGCCCCACTTATAATTAATTATACAATTTCGATGGGAATATCGACTAAACAAAGCTATAAATCATAGAAAAAGTCAATAGGCATGGACACATTCAATCATGTCCCGACCAATGATTACTACTCTTAAAATACAATAATTATTTTCAGGAGCCAGCTTGAATTAAATTTCTGTCAGGATGGTACAAGACCGGCGGTTGATGAAGGATGCGATGGATTTTTTGGGTTGAATTCGGCACAGAGACATTTATCCTTTTAGATAGGTAGTTTGTTTTTAGTGATCATGGTGCTGCGTGTTTAACTAGACCATGAAGATTAGATTATCTCCAATGGCTCATTATATCGTTTATCTTTTCCTTCCATGTTTGATCTGGAAGATTTCCCGCTTCTTGATGCATGAATGAAATGACTGCTGATTTTGAAATGGAATGTGCTTAAGTGGGATTCTGCCTACGCCTTCGCACACCACGTCCATGTATGTAAAGTCAATGAACAGTCATCTGAAATACCACTAGGATGTGGTAAATGACAGCAACAAGTATGACTTTGCTCAGCTTCAGAAATGTACTGGGAAAAAATAAAAATGACAAACATCTGAGTTATTTTTAAAAAATTATAATAGTAACGCACATAGAGGAAAATCTGGGACAGGAATGGTATTGGCATGGAAACAGGAAGAGGGATTAGTGTTACTACTTTGAATTATATGTCCCCCAAACTGAAAAACATGAGGGAAAGAAATGTTACATATTTCCCAAGGATGTATTCACCTTGAAAATTTAAAAACAAACAAACCCCAAACCAACTTATCTCACAGTAACTGTGTTTTTATGATATATTGCTGAGACAGATACTTCTCGTGGTACACATACACAGCGCACAAAGACATGCTGCAGAAGGGACAGCAGCACCAACGAACAGGATGGATGTCAACAGATGCTGAAAGGACAAACAGATCTCCACTTTCTTCAAGAATTTGACTCATCAGACTCTTCCGACCTCAAGAAATGAGAGAGATCTCAGATTCCCACATGGAATTAACCTTCTAGGTGTAAGGTGACTTAAAAACAGAGAGGGTAAAAAGGGTTCAGATCCTTGCCCCGGATCCTTGCAGAGAGCCCTCCAAACAACCCAGTTCTCTATGAATGAAGAGAAGAAGCCACAGATAGGAGAGAAGAAGAGAGAGGGGGAGAGTCATGGATCCTGTGCACATCCCATCCCTACACAACAAGGAGTGATACAGCGTGTGAGCAGGGGCTCTGTGTAACTGGCACCGAGGGTGGCAAAACCAAGAGGTGAGGACTAGGGCAGACACAAAGGGGTTCTCCATAAAGCTGAGATACTGAAGATGAATCTCGTCTTCTTTTGTCATGGGGATGAGGAAGGAAGGTAAAATTCAGTCACCCTGAGGAAAGGACTGAAGAGAGAAGGGGAACCTTGGCTATCTTGTCAGCCTGCACAAATGACTCTGACACACAGTTTCTGCAGAAAACAAAGTTTTCTGAAGGATTACTTTGTCTAGCATAGTCTGTCCTATTTATATAGCTCAGAATATTCAACACATGAATGCTCTTAGTTTATGCATACATGGGCAGACCAAGATCTGACACAAGTGAGTATAGCTCTTCTAATGTCAGTGAAGTTGGGCCAATTTCCACAAGCAGAGGGTCTGGCCAACGAAATCCACAATAAGGCTCCCACATCCAATATGAACATTCCCACATTCCTCGTTTTAAACTGTGTGTAACTGTTCAGGGTTTAGGTTTTTTTTTTGGCTGCTTAATGTTTTTCCTTTAGATATGTAACTCCTAGGAACCTTAGATGAAGAAAGCTGTAAGCAGTGATACAGAGATTTTCTACATGGCTACATTTTGAAATAAAATCACCTTAAAGAAGAGATAAAGCCATTCTCCACAGAAAAACTGTAGTCCTCATTACAAATCAGAACGTTCATGTTCCCTGTCTGCTTCCTCCCCTTATGAAGCCCTCTATGATTGCCCAAACAGTGCCAGTCTGCTGCAGGGTTTGAGCATTCTATTCTAATTATTCATGTGTTCTTATTATTCTTTGTACACTCAGAAGGCCAAGATATTCTCAGAGCAGCTTTGCATTAAGGGCTTTTCCTAAGTGTACAATGAAGAGTTAGAAACAGGATGCTTGAAGAAATGCAGACCAGAGGACAGAGAAGAAAAGTGAATTGTCGCGTATATTTAATTTACAATTTTTTTCTATGAAAAAGGTAGTAAACAGAAGCCAGAGTTAACAAGCTGAACACAAAATAACTGACTAAGTGAGGAGGAAATTTGGAGCAATTATTGGGTTAGCTGAATTATCTCTTCTCATTCTGTAGACAGGGGGATTGATAAGGATAAAGGGCTGGTAGAGAAATGCAGTTTGTTTGAGTTTCCAACTTCTTCCTTCAAAGTGTTTAGCAATAAACTTACCGCAGTGCCATTGTTATCTCTAAATACATCTTGATTAAAATAGTCAAAAAGCTTCTTTTCTAATTGTAGCATAACCTAAAGAAAAACAGAGGAGAAAGGTCAGCAAAGCTCTTGGACTCAGCTACCTAACACACAGCTGTTGGGAGTGACCCTTTTAGAGACATGCGACCCTTTAAAACTGCACCACGTTTCCATGCGTCTAAAGCTCCTTGTCAGCTTGCCCACTGGGCTGACTGGCAATCACTTTAAAAGATCCAATTAATTGAGCATTAGGTGTGACAATCTATATCCCTCCCCTCCCTTTAAATTATCAGTTTGAAACAACTATATTCATGCTTTGTAGGAAAGAAAGTGAACATTCAACAGCGTTTCTATTTACCCAGCGGGTACAGAGGGCATTAAGTTGTTTACCTTTCGGTCATTATCAGATTCACGAAATATTAGCTTGACTACTTCATTTGTGTCAGCTGCCCGGATAGTCTGCATTGTAGCTTTTGCACATAGTGTCTAATAAAAAAGACAAAGGGAGAAAGAGAAACTAGTTTACACGCAAAATAAGGCCACATTTCATTGAACTTCATCCACCTACGTATCTTCTATGCCCACCTGAAAATATGATTTGCTGTAGGTCAAAATAAAAAGCATTGCTAATTTAAGTAACTTCCACTCACGATGGATTTAAAACAATACATGGAATTACTGTTTGGAGAGAAACAGGCAATATTAAGAAAGCATCAATCAGATAAGGCAAATATTCAGTGCATTTACTACCGTGCACACAGGTCCTTTCACAGCTCTGACACCATATTACACATTACTTGTAAACATCCTCAAAAGCCACTTCCTACAGCTAATGACTCCACAGCCCTACCGGTTTCTGTACCACATTCTTGAAAGCCGATAACTCCATTGACACTACAGTTCTGCAGGTTAACTCTTGTTTGCAAAAACTTCTGCCTTTTAAGTTAATGTTCCAAGTATAATTTAAAAGACCAAGCAGCACTCACACAACCTGACAGCAAGTTCCACAGCTTACTCTGGATAGCAAATTCCCCACGCATCATCCAAAAAATAAAATAAGAGACAACATCACATCTCTAGATATTGAGGACTGGGTGTCTAAAACAGTATAAATCAACACTTCATCAGGAACAGAGGTAGGAATTTCCAAGGAAGCGTCAGGCCTCGATTCATTCAGCATTCGTGTGGCTGGGGCCCAGTTTCAAGGACAATCAAAGCTGACGTGGAGAATAATACAGAATTGCTTGTGTAAAGGGCTTGCTCTGTTGAATTGTAATAGGTGAAAATCTGGAGCTTTCAGCAAAGCAGTTAGGCATATATTTTAACTGAAAAACATACTTTAGTTTCACTGAACCTGTACTTTTAGTGAAGCTTTAAGTCAAGTGCTTTCAGATGCAGAAGCAGACTATAACTCACTGTTGGGGTAGGCAGGCGTTACAGAGTGCTCTGCAGTTACCCAGCTTGGGCAAAGCTACTGGCCAGTGTGTAACGCTGCCCCAGCCCACCCGCCTGGGTTGCTGGAAACCATGAGGCCCAAGACACAAAGGGGAACAGAGAAAACCTGGGTGTTACTCAAAGGCAGAGAGAAGGTGGCCAAGATGTGCACCCACACCTGTGAGTCCGTCCAGCAGCCTCTGCTAGAGCCGCACCGCAAGCTGCTGAGAGGATCTACGCACAGCCCTGGATGAGGGGATGGGCAAACACCATCCTTCTGAATAAAAGCTTATTTTGCCAGAGGTTCTTAACGAAAGCGTGCTGAAGAAAATAATTGGGAAGAGGGATTCTTGCTCTGTCTGTGCTATTCCTTTCCATAATGGCCAGAAAACAGATTTTCATTTTGCATAACACTCACTTTTTAAAATAAATATGTTCTGTGGTAATAGGGTAATGGAATTTCACATCCTGCTGCACGCTTCTTTCTCTTGCAAAGAGAAATACTTTTATATTGGGATTCATTATTAAAAGTGCAGTATTTATCAGACACCATGCCATGAAACTACAGCTTACTTCACAGTTTCTTATTCTGAATTTCTTCTACAGGAGATGCCAAATATGTATTTAAACAAAAAAAAAAAAAAAGAAATCTGCTTCCAAATATTTTAGATCTCAGCTGCGGTTACCAGTGCTAGAGTGGAAAAGAATCTGTCAATGGACCTTTTTTCCTCCCCCTTTGATAGAAAGACATTAAAAAATGAACCTTGATAAAGGCCGTTGTGTGTTGCCATAGTACAAACAAAAAGCAACAAGCTAAGCAATTTCATTTTTAAAGGCTAACTTGAGTGTGATTCAGTAAAAATAAAATACAAATCTAATTTTTTCTTCAAGTGTCTGAACTGAACAGATGCTGACTCCCCATCTTACTGAATAAATGATGTCCTTTCCTGACAAGTTTTTCTTGATTGTTTCCTCCCACCCAAAAGCAGTGCCACAGCTATAGATCACAAACCTCTAACTCTGGGTTTTATGCTAAAAAACATGGCACAGCCATGTCACCAACACGGCCATAGGTGTCTGTGAAATCACAGTTTTTGCTAGAGGGAAGGAGCAGTGGTCTCACAGACACAGACGCAGGCTGCCCTTTTGAGAATTTCACCGGTTTTCCAGAATTTTAAAGGTGTTTTTTGGGAGGCTTTTTTGGAGAAGAGATGAAAGATGCCAGCAGTAGCTTGTTAGACCCAATGTTGCTTGGGGGGGAGGAGGAGAGGCACACTGGACCGTCAGGGAAGCTGCACTTTGGTACCACTTCTGTCAGGCACAGACCTGGTAACTTTTCCCTTGCATCCACCAGTCCTGCAGGACCCGTTTTGTCTCTTTGGACATGTAATGACCGTTTTGCCATCTGTGTCCGTGTGCGGACACCAGTGAGGTAATCCACTGGCCAGCCATTCCCAAAGTGCGCCCCCTCCATACCGGCTATTGAAATTCAAAGCACAGATTAGCTAATCGGGTCAAGCCCAAAAAAATAGCGCTTTGGGCTCATGTGTCACAAATCAGTCTGGTCGCCTTTAAACAGCGCACCAGATTAGAACAAGCACCCGAACAAACCAAAGCGGAAAACCCGCCGCTCTCTAAAGCTGGTTTCTAAAGCCCTAACAAATCGCTCCATCTTTCACTCATTTAAACTTTCCAAATGAGGGTCAATACGGTCCCCGAGCATCCAAATGCTAATGCGCTTAAGTGCGCTTAAGCAGCTTTCCAGAGTGAATGGGCCAAAGAAGGGCTCGAAGAGACAAGGCAGAGTTACTGTCACTGTCAAAAAGTCATTGTAGCCACCCCCAGAGTGGTTGCAATTCAAGAAATTCATGATTTCTGTCTCTTAAAGGCATCTGCTTGAGAACATTTTTTTTTTCTGAGCTGCTTTATCTCACAACTTCAGGCCCACTCTAAAAGAAAAAACCCCACGATCGACTCTTGAGAACCAATACAGAGAAAGGACCCACAAACCTTATTGCTTTCAAATTTCACACGCACAAAAAGTTACCTTATTCACAGACAAAAAGTGATTGGGCAAAGGTTCATTTCTTATACAAGCTGAAGCACTCCTTTTTTTTCCTCCTCCTTTCAATTTCTACAAAGTCGTAGTCACCCAAGCAGAAAACTTTCGGGAACATGTGCCCTTTTAGACAAGTCTACTTATGAAGGGATTTTTTGTTGCTGGTAAAGAAAATAAAAATGCTATGAAACCACGCTGTTTCTTTTTGGGTATCCCCTCAAAGGTACTCTTTTACAAAGTCAGAAGAGGGGAAATCAGATATCAAAACTCTACCCAAGTTATCTTTTTGAATTTTTTTTTTTTTTAAACAAGATTTGTTTAAGAAGTTTGCAGGAGAGATGTATTCAGAGCTGAGAAAGGACCCAGTATTCAGCCTCCGCTTAGCAAACACAGACATGTCTTATTCCCATTTTCACATATCCTGTCCACACAGGTAGATCCTTCATAGTATTTTGTAAACAATCCTTTGCGATAATTTAGGTGTATTGAATTGTAAAACACAGCAATAACTTTTCTGATAATTACCTTGGAATGTTATAAAAATGTAGTATTACAAAAAGCTAGGAGTGCAAGTTTTTTATATTGACAAAAAGACAAATCTGGAATTTCTTCTAAACTCTGCAATGCTCAGAAACGGAAAGCCTTTTGATTTACAGCATAAATGCAACCTTCAAAATACATCTGCTCCCACACAGATACAACACATTGAAATGTTTTAGACTGTATTTCTGCATACTTACAGTAAAAAGGGATAAAGACATCAAAACAATTGTGTTACATATATAAAACACACACACAATATTATATAATAGATATTATATAATTGCGTTTTATATTGCATATATATGGAAACATTCTGAACAGCTGGGAACTGCACTAGCAAGCTTCCAGGAGCAGCAATTCAACTCAGCAGTGAGATAAATGTTGGCTGAATTAAGAACAAGTATAAAAAAGCACTGACGAGAAGCCACTTCAAGTATCACCATGCAAAACTACTTTCTCTTTGAATATTTCCAGAGGAGCAATCTGATGTCCTGGGAAGCAGAGACGGTGGTGGGGCTGGGTGGGATGGAGAGCGAAAGCCTCCCACACCGCTCCTGTCCTGCCTCTCAGCGCGCTGCATGTGGAGCATGCCCACAGTCCACCTTCCGATGGCAAATCACTGATTACACATTACACAAACCTGCCACTTGTACTCATGTCAGGACTGATTCAGCTTCACAGGTGGTTTACAGCAGCACCAATTCTACCACCTGGGAAAGCCCTGCAGCAGTGCTCTGGTCTCCACTACACCACCCCTTTGCTGGTAGGGGGCAAAGGGATATTTTGATCTTGAAATAACTCTTTGGGTAGTGTCTGTGACAAAAGCAGCTTGGCACTAAGACCCTATCTTCATGCTCCCATTCTCCCAAAAATCTCCCGCATCCCTAAAATAAATGATTCCTGCT